GGGAGCTGCTCCGGGCCGTGCCGCTCTTCGTGTCTGCCGCCTCCCGCCTGAGTTTCCCCGCTCACTCGTTTCATTCACGTCCCGCCTCGCTGCACAGACCCTCCCCAGCCACCTCGCAGCGTCCCTCTGAGAAAGCCTTGGAGACTTCCCCGTGCAAAAACGTACTTCAGATCCTATTGTGGGTGATTAAGAGCAGAATGTCACACAAACTATTAAATTAAGGTGACATCAAATTAAAGAGCGGCCCTTGGCTGTGGTTTACAAAACAGATCTCGTTAGCTGTGCCCCTGAGGAAGGGTGTACCTCCCCACCCACAAGGAATTTCCCGCTTCCACAAAGCGACTTGTTCTTAAACAAGGCATTTAGCTTACACAGGAGCGCAACCTGTTTCCCATAGGCTTGCCCCACGAATACACCACTTCCCTGTCACATACGTGGAAACAAGATGTAAATTACTGCGGAGGGTTAGAGTTAACATTTTGTATTACCGTGTGAGCTTAATATTTTGTCTGTTGGAGGTGGAAAGTGAAGACACAGGGTTTATCAACCTTTCATTCAAAACTCCTTCCTTGCTTAAAGAGAAAAATTCCCTTTCACCAAGATTTCCTCGCACTTGAGGTCCTCATCAATCTAACTCTGGCATTACCAACGTCACTGTAAAAACATTCATGGAAGGTGCAGGTGGCAATGGGTAATGTGCTGCGGGAAGAAATTGTGTTGCATGCGATACGAAAAGAAAAAGAATGAAATTATGAGGGGAGAAGAAAAGCGACACGAGAAAAACTACCAGGAATTGCCTCTGCTTGAAGTGCTGCAAACGCGGCTGAGGTTTTTTTGTACTGGTGGTTGCACCTGAACTTCGGTTTCCATCTAGGCACTAAACATAGATACCATATGCAACCTGAAACTGAACATCAGCGTTCAGCCTGTGGTAAAACAAATCCTTCATCCTAGGCACATGTGCAAGGCAATGCACTGGATTCATTACTCTCTGTTTATTTGAAAATTTGGAACCCAAAAGCGTAAATTAAGGGCGCATTTGGAATTCTCTCCTAACGTGGCTTTAAATTGTCTTGAAGAACAAGGTCTATTGAAAAGAGAAGAAAGCGATAAAGGCACAATTAGATCAATACAACATCCACTTTGAAGCCTAGTAAACCTCTCTGCTATTATTAACTACGATCAAATATAAAGGTTGAATACCTAATACAAGCCAGAGACTTCTCATTCAACCAGCCTATTTGCAAACACTTCGGCCACCTAATAAGAATACGGGGAGCAGGTTCTATCAGACATCTTAAAAGCCTGTCTACCTTTCAGTTCTTGTTGTTCTTCACACTGCATTTACAGCAGAGTCTGAAAATGTTGCGTTATCTCTGCAGAAGCCAGCTGAGCATCTACAGCATCTATTTGCTCACAGTGGAGCTTACATAAGATGGAGACTACATATTCAGATGGCAGTGGTTTAAAACCATCAGGTTTCCCACCAATTTGGTTTCTTATACATTTATACTCGTTTTCTATCCCCTTCCAAGCTAGTATGATTTGGGGAATTCCTTTGTAATTAAGATCTTCCCTCTATCCTGGATGTTTTTGCAGCACTGGTTACCAGGAGAAATGTCATTTGCTTATTGTGTTTTTTTCCAATAGCAGTGAGATTTTCTACTTTTGTGCTATAGCAAAAAAAACCCCACACACTCTTGTGAGCCTCTGGTTCAGCACCGTTCCTCCTTCCCCTGGGACACTCACAACCCTGGGCTTTGCTTACACTGGAAAAATGGGCCACGTTAGGAAACATGTGCCCCCCCAGCCGGAGGAAAGGGCCCTGAGAGCATCATCCCCCTTCCCGGAGGTCTGGCACCCCGGGCTCGCTGCCAGCCTAGAGACAGCGCAGCTGAGGGCTGCCCCCCTTCCCTCCCTCTAGTGACCTTGGAGGCAGGGCTGCGGTGAGACCTCAGCGAGGGCCGACTTCCCCCTTCCCATGGGAGCTGCGTTTCAGCTGAGGCTCTGGTGCTTGGCCCTGCCTGAGCTACAGCCGCGTGACAGCCGTGCCTGTGTCCCATCAACCCGGCCCTGTCAACCAGCTTGCTGGCCAGACCTCAGACTTGCCTCATTGCTGTGGACTTGCCTGCTGATCACAGGGCTGTATCCGTCCCCGATTGCCATCACCGGACCTGACTCGCTGACTTACATTCCCGGCTTGGCCTCAGACCTATCCCATCGCCACGGACTTGTCTGGCGACCCGGACTCCCTGTTGACCCCAGCTGCCATCTCCAGGCCTGCCCTGCTCACCTTGCTGAGGTCCTGTGGGAAGGGGCCCTGGCCACTGAGGTGTCTGCTCTGCTGGCCACGGCACAGCACGCGGCTCCCTGTCCCTTAGGGAGCAGTGTGGCCCTCGCTGTCCCCAGACGCCAGACTACTGTAGCACCTACAAGAATACCAGCCCACTTCCACTGACCCAGACCCACGGGCTGTCTGGGTCAGCATCTTGTCTCTTACAGGGACTCGTTCATTCTTCCAAAATACGTGCTGCCATTCGAGAACAAGATCCAGGTAGAAGTGAAAAGGGAAAAGGGGCTACCCATCTTTATCAAAGGGGATGAGTGAAGAGTTATAAATCAGCCAACCTCCATTTGTTATCTGGAAAGATAATGAAACAAGCTGTTCGGCAATCAGTGTGCGAGCAGCTAAATAACAATAAAGTGATGAGAAACAGGCGGTGTGCATTTGTCCAGAACAAATCATGTCAAAGTAACCTAATTTATTTCTTTGCTGAGGGAATTGACTTAGGTGCTGAAAGGAATAGACGAAACACTTTTGGACTTCAGAAGGGCTTTTGACATTGCCTGGAACACCACTCTCACAAAGGCAAATAGGGCTCAGGTGGAACTAACACGAGAGGGGGGTGTGATTGAAAAGCAATTCCCAAACTGTGGCAGTGGGTATTTTCCTGTCAATAGGAAGGTATATCAAATGAAGAGATCTGATCTGCCTGCTAGGGTTGATTAATTAGTGACTCGGACGGTGGAATTGACCTTTGACTTTAAACTGCAAACAACACCAAGCTGGGCAGTACCGCACTTCGGAGGCAAGGATTTGAACAAAGGTTTAACATTTCTAAATCGCAGGAAGAACCTCAAAACACTGAGATCAACAAAGACAAGCAGGAAGTATTACACTTTGAAAAGAAAACTTGAATTCTCAAATTCAAAATGAGGAAAAAATTCATGGTTTTGGGTAGGATACCAAAATGTACTATCACAAGTACTTTAAGAAAGCCGTAAGTCTACATTGGAAAGCGTGGACTATATGAAGAGCCACTTCTTTGTCACGAAGACAACATGACTAGGGAGGGACAACGTGCCGACACCACGCTGATCTCCCCGTTTGAAATACGCACGGCACCGAACGACACAAAAATTATTTGCAGCTGCCAGAGCTACCTTGGTGTGCAGAATAGCGGCCTCGTGCCGTCTGCCACGTTGCTCTGAGCAACCCGGCGTGGCCCTGACATGCTTTTGCTTCGCCGTACCTCCTCCTGTTCCCTGGAGCCTCTCCTCTCTGGGGGCAGATGTGCTCCCCAGTCTGCTCCCTCCAGCGCTGCTGGGGGGCTGCCCGCCCTGCCAGAGGGGCCTGTGGGTCTGCAGAGGGCAGTGGGCCAGAAGGGGGCTGTCGGGTTTGGGAGCCCTGGGCCCTACAGGGTGGGGAGGGGAAGCCACCAGTCTCCCAGTGCCACCACTGCTTAAAGTCCCCCAGGACAGGTCACACCGTGTCCCAGTAAGAGGCAAGACGGAGTCACAGGAGCTCAGAGGTGACGTTGCGCAGGTCTCCTGGTCCGCGCGGCGTGACGTCTCAGGCTGAAAGGCAAACATTGCGTGTTGGAGTGTCCACCTTCCAGCAGATCTCAAAGGGGGGTTTTTGCCCCTAATGCCACTTCTTGGGACTTTGACAGAAGGCAGAGTGACTTGAACAGCAGCCTGCTTAATGGCGAACACAGAAATCACTGACAATTATTTTGGTTTTTTTCTCTTGGCAGGGATCACACGAAGGCCCGGAGATCAAAATGACGGCATAACACACGCTGACTCGTTTTGCTGAGCTTTGCAACTTTTCCTCCAAAGATGACAAGCGACCCCCAGGAAATCTCTCAGTCTTGAAAACAAAACCTGCAACTTGGAAAGCTGTGGCCAGAGTCACCGCAGCTGGAGGCTGCAGGCTGGCTTTATAAAACTGCAGCTCCTGCAAGTTCATCCTCCGTCTGAAAAACCTTTGAGGCTGCTTTCTAATAATGCTCTCTTCTCTGACTTGAAAGTGCCTCCCTCCACCACAAAGTCTGACACATTTCCCAGATGTGTTTTCAGCAGAGGAACATAGGAGGGGTAAGCCGTGAGAGAGACCCCCGGCACTTTCACAGTATCGCTCCCATCTGCCTGGAAAGGTTAAGAGTATCGCAGTGCTGTTTGTAGCAGTTTCATGAACGGCTCAAAGAATGTGAGATGCACCAAGCCACGCCTGAATTAACGAAATGACATTGCGCTGCAGCCTTTCACACCTTTGGACCGAACTAAAAGACGAGGGCGTTTATCCCAAAGTTACGAGAAGCAAAAAACCAACGTTTGCGATGGTCCTATGCGAGACGCGTTGCAGGTGGAAGCCGCCGCTCCAGCGAGCTGGCAGAGCCTGGGGCGAGGACGCCCCTGACCCGGTGGGCCGGCGGCGTTGAAGCCCTGCGGATGCCGGTGCCGTGGCCCCATCCCCACCTGCCCGACAGTGCCAACGTGCCCCCAAGCTCACGGCACAGCTCCCCAAGGGGAAAAGCTCCCTGACAACCGCCTGCCAAAGCCGGCTCAGAATTTGGGGCCGGGCGCAGGAAGGAGACCCTCCTCCCCGGGGCCGGCCAGCCCGCCGGCCTCCCTTCCCTGCCCGCGCCCTCCCCGCCCCGCGCCCCCCCCGCCGGCCGGCGGAGGGTCCTTCCCCGGGGAAAGTTGCTCGGCGCCCCCCGATCGAGGGGCGGGGGTGTCCGGGGCT